CTTTAATATACCCGTGTTATACTTTCTGACACTACACAAAAGAGTATAATGAGAAAACCTAGTGGTAAACAAATTGTCTTTCTGAAGTGATCTCTTTAAAAAGTAGGGCTTTTGCAGTAAACCAGAAGTAATTTTAGAAGCTGTGTTCTGGAGCTGTGTAGCTCCTTTACCATCATAAGTGCTGTATTAAGATGTTCCTAAACATCAAAGYCCACATCTTTCTCTCTCTTTCTCTCCATCTCTCATGATTTTGAGGCCTAAAACAACCTTTCAACTTTCATATTCAAGGATTATTCTGAAATATTCACATCCACTGCAAAACAAAAGATTTCAGGCCTGAATCCCACTTCCAGCTGTCATGGAAACTTCCAATCTTATTCCAAAGGAAAATTCCACTTGCAGCTTTCCATTCAGATCCATGTTTAGGAAAGCAGCTCTATGAATAGCGATAGTGAGAACAGGATATTGGTCCATGATGGTTTAGTTAGATTTGGAAATCTGCTGCAGAGCAGAGAGGAAAAAAAAAAAAGAAGGAAGAGGGAAGTAATGAGAAGAAATCTTGTGGGAAACTGCACTCACTTCAAAATGGGTGAGAGCGCGTGCGGGATGGTGCAGGACCAGCTGCAGCGCAACGGGCCTCCTTTCCCTTCAGCCAAGGCGAGGACCACAACTGCTATGCCATAAAACCTTTGCCTGACCCCTCAAAGTGTGACTGCAGATCGGTGCCCATGCAGTTGTCTCCCCAAGGCACAGCCGACTGCACCGTGCTTAGTCTGCATGTTGTTCAACTGTGAGATGGTCCCGCAAGCACGCGCGCCCCGGAGTCCAGCAGCCTCTCCTCAAGGCTGGTCCCCTTCAGCAATCAGTCGCTCCGTGTTACCAGAACTTCCTTTCAGGGCTGAGCGGAGATGAGGGGCGCAGACATCCTGGATATCAGCAGACACCAGAGCTCGCTGCCGCTGTGGCTGTGCCAGCCCCTTCCTCTGTACTTTCCATTTTGGTAACTTGTTTCATGCGAGGCTGACAGCTCGCACTGTCATAGTGTGCACATGTAGCACGCTGGAATTCCTAACCATGGAGTTTGCTTTTGTTCACAGGAGACAGTGACAGGCTTGTAGACCATTTAAACCCCTTTTATGCTTTGTTCTGGGCATTTAATTGTGTGTGCATAATCTGYCCTTCAGAGGTAAGGGGTGAAGTTCATCCAAAAGTGAGAGCAAAGTTTAAGCTATATTTGTTAGTGGAGTGCCGCAAAATTAATGTAATGTGAGATACAAATCTGAGCTCATATGCAAACATGTCTAGAGACACAGAAAAATATCTAGGTCTAGTTAGAGCTACATCTTGAAGTCTGCAAAGTTTCCTTTTACTTCCACATACACATGACTACATATTTCATCTTTTAAACATTCTCTTTTCTCCTGGATTGAAACTGAAATGTGTTTTTATATGTATATATCCTGACACTTCCAAATCTTCAATGACAAATAGCATTAAAAAAATAAAAAGAACAGTAGGAGCTCTAATTCCTGAAGAATTACTTCAGCAAAATATACACTTTTCTATGCATCCTTTCAGCATACAATCCAATGTTTTGATTGCTTATATAGCAATTAAGCTTTAGCTTTCAATACGTTATAATTTCTACAGATTTAGTTACAGCTATGTAGAGCTTAGCCTCCCTACTAAATAGATCAGAGATACTGTACAAATATTCCTCGCCTGTAGGAAGCAAGATAGTAGTTTACAGTTTAATAGTGGGAACATTCGTGGGTGAAATTCAATACTGGGAAGAGGGCCAGTTCCCAATGATTTCATTCTTCAGCGCAGAGCATCAATGCAGAAACGAAGCAGCAGCAGCAGCAGGGGAGAGCCAACTTTCCAGCCCCGATCGCCCAAACCCGCTCTGTGGCTGGAGGCCACCGGGCGCCGGGTCGTGTCCCGGGCAGCTGGGGCGCCGACCTCCTGGGCGCAGCCGCGTGGGCTCCGGCTCCGGGAGCAGCCCGGCACACGCAGCTCGGTGGCACYGCGACGCCGGCAGCCCCAGCACCGGCAGGATCATGTCCCCCCGGAGCCGCTTGCTGCTCCGGGGCCACYGCACGGACCTGCCAGCCCCGTCACGCACTGCCGGGCTGGAGCCGCTTCGCCTGGCTGAGAACCACGAGTCGTCTCCCCTCGGTCCAGGCCTCTAGAGGAATATTATTTCCCTTACGTAATGGGTTGTAATATTTGTATTGGTGCAATATAAGTGCTCTATTTATTTAATTTCCCCCCAGGCAGTCTGGCTTGGAACAAAAGAATATCATACCATACTTGATAACTTCATAAAAYGTACTTCATATAGACTCAGAGTAGGTTAAAGTGGTGTAATACGTAAAGTACTGAGCATAGCAAGACAATCTCTTCCACCAAGCTGGAACACAATGATTTATCCTCCAACTTGTGTATCTTCTTGCTTCCAGAAAAAAAAAAGATGGAAGTTAAAAGGCAGGAAATAAGGATTTTGCYGTTGTCATTAATCCATGAAATGCCTTAGAATAAATCTCATTCTTAGTCTCCCCAAAACAATCATAGGAACAATAATCTGAATTCAGCAGAGGCGTGGATATTYTATTTTAAATATTTTTTTCTCAGCAGTGTATTCCACATTCAGGTCAGCAGCTGAGCCGGCTCCCACATTAGTGACCCATTTGTAATTGACTTCAGTACACGACAGTTCAATTGCGTAACTTGAACTCTGGCTCCAACTTTGCACCTTTAGCTAAAACGATTTCCTCCCCGTGTTTTCCTAATTYTGTTCTGGTTGGAAGCTGGCGTCTCAGCATTTCATAATGGAAAAGGCAGAGAACACTACAATCAGGAAGAGATAAATTGCTATTTTCTCGTGCCAGACCAAAGAGTTCCAAGGCAGGACTGCAGGCTGGAGAAGTGTCTCATAACCACAGTGTTTCCCTGTTGCCAAGCCCTGTGGTAGATACTGTATCCTTGTTGCACGGGAAGTTACTTTGTCACCACAACAAGCAAATGTTGTCAGTTCAAATTTGAAGAGTATTAAACTCAGTGTGATAGTTAAAAGTTCTTGCGTTTCAGAGGACGGGGATTTGAGCTAAACAAGCTATTTTGTTCTGCATCCAGTGCTGTGGAATTGGCAGGTCGGAATCTTTTTGTGCAGGGATAAATTCTCTCAAACCACGCGCTACCGCGCATTGATGTGGTGAAACACGAGAGGATCCCTACCCCATGTGAGAAAATACCGGTTTGCCACGATACCAAGATAACCAAGACTCACTGGGGAGGCAATGGTCAAAATCTTTCTTCGTACGCGGTTCTAAGCCTGGAACAGCTTTCTTGTCTCCAGCAGATGAGAATGAAATCTGGCTCGTTTAATCTAATTTTGTCTCYGCCAACAGATCCTTCTCCCTGGTTCTGGTTTGCAGAGCTGATTTTTGTAATAGTTCCAGGATGTGGAACAAAATCTCAGCATAGACAGCTTCTAATATGTCCTTTGGAGGTTTTATGATTATGAACATTTTTTTTTTATTATTTTGATGACTTCTGGAATACTGAAAAATCTATCATTTATTCAAGCAAAATTATTTACCTTGGCATAACAGAATCAGCATCTCAGCTGAAGCTCCTGAACACTACACCGCTACAAATAAAACATGAAATAATTAGCTGAAATTAATAGCATATTAGAGACCTGTGCTTACTCTCCTCGAATATGGAAGATACTAAATCAGAACACAAGAAATTGACAGAAATGGATTTTTCCACAAATATCAGCTATGTTTGATAGCAGCTGTCATTAGCGACCAGCAATGCCTCTCAAAACATTCCACAGCCTTCATGGACGGTTTTCCTTGCAGCGACGTCGGCATTTACGCYGCGCCGGCCCCCCCTCCCCTCGCGCTGCAATCTGTAGGAAGCTGCTATTCCCAACAGGAGCGGTCGCTTGCTGACATCACATGCGGTAGAATCCTTTTGTTTGCCTGTGTCTCCTGCATYGAAATGTTTGTCTGAGTCACAAATCCTTCCGTCTTTCTGCCGTCTTTCTTCCCCTATGTCACGCTTGCTTGAGAGCTCTCCCTGACTCACAGGTTTTAAATTTTAAGCACACAAAGCCCAGGGTGCTGTATGGCAAATGAATACTTTTCCTTTTAGTATTTTATTATGTAAATGATATCTAAATACTATAATGATCCAAATACCACTGCCACTTTTTTTTCTTTTTCTTTTTTTTTTTTTTTTTTTTAAACAGAGAGGTTTTATGACTCAAATTCAGCACTGAATTTTGTTTCAAGGCAAAGTCAGTTTGGTGTTACTGAATTAAAAATTAAAGATATTGACTCCAATAACTTGAATTCTCTATTTAGTCTGCTGGCTAAGTTTCCTCAGCTATAGCATTATCAAGTATTATGCCAGAAAGAGGGGATATGTATGTGTAYGTACAGACAAACCCTTCTCGTGCTTGCAGTAATTACTATTTTGCATTGCTGTACCCTCGTTCATCTATAATAGTCATCTTACACATTTGTTTTCTGTTAATAAAAGAGGACAAATCCTTGCTGTTTTCAGTGGACACTGATGATTGCACTTGGTTTACATTCTGGAGTTGTTAGACACTAGCAATGCACTAAGAAATCTGGGTCTCCTATGTGTTAAAAGCCACAAACTAAGCACATCCTGATTACAGAATGTTCATTCCGAATCATTTGTTGAAAGAAAACATGGAGGCTGAGGAGTCTGCAGCAGTTCAGTGCAAGCTTGAGGGATGGTGAAACACTCTTACCATGATAGGAATATGAAATTGCCAGACTGGATTAAATTTTGTTGTCCCTCATATCTAGTCTTCTATCTCTGCTGTTACTGCTACCAAATAAGTAAGATTTTGGAAACAGTGCCTTGGCTGCCCTTGATCAAGGACTCTGCAGCAGGTAAGGGCTAAAAGTCCCAATGTGGCATTCCATTTAAGTGTGCATTTATCTTAAAGCATTGTATCAGAAGCCCCACTGCTTTCTGCCCTAGCTTGAGGCATTGAGGCTGCATGGAACCTTGTTAAAATTCAACTGCACACAGAAACAGATGAATGATTGAGACCTACGTCACTGACTGTATCTTACTGGCTCCTCCTAGCTCAGCGTTTAAACTGGAATCGCTTTTGGATCCACAATAAAAGGAGCTAGTGTAGTCTTCGTCCCCCCCAAAGCTGAAGACTCTTCATGTAGAAAACAGTTTATGTTTTTATTAGAAAAGTAAAACTGTCATGTAGGAAGGAACTTCCTACCACAGAAACTTGTATAKTGTAATTTTAACATTGTTGTAAAGTTCGGAACAGGAATTTTAGTTAAACAGGCTCCCATGCTGCCCCGATTACATCGTCACTATGCAAGTGATTCCCAGGTAGCATATCTTTCTAATACTCAACTTTTGAGTCACTTATTTTTCCTCTTCTCTCCGTGGACGTTTCCGAGGGTTCATTTCGGTACCATCTAGGTTTTGAGTAACWGTTGGAAGCTGCACGTCTCGGAAACCATGAGGCTGTTAGATAAAAGCAAAATTATGTGATAGTATGTATCCAAGGATATGAAACACAAGTAACTCTAGCACCCACAAGATCAAAATAAGGAATGAGGATAGCATTTATTTTAGTTGAGGGGCCAGAGAATGTTTACAGACTCGGCTAATMTCATGCAAGGAAACTGTCCTATTTACTTCATTTTCTAAATGATATTTTCTTGTCACCAATCAGGCAATCATTTTCATGTCATCAGTATTAACAGTAATCACCTCTATGGCTATGGACCACTGTCGCTTTGTAAATTAACTTAAACTGCCTATTTAGATAAACTAAAAGCCCAGTCCTTTCAGTTTTACTCAAACCAAACTCCCAAAGAGAGGAGATTGTTGAACTCACTGCCTCAGTCTGCACAACTGCAAATTTCTAAAACCTAGGATATTTTCATGTATATTCATGCATTTGTTTAATGAACTGATAACGGCAATGAGATGTTGAGAGAGAAGWGCATGTCTGAACCAGTCTATGCAGACTGTCCCAGCATGGTGCTCAATGGGACACATGGGGGTGAGAACTTYTAACTGCCAAAATCTAAATGCAGAAGTAAAATCTGGATGCTGAGCAGAGAGCTCAGAGTGTTCTACACTGCTTAGTACCACTGGTATTTTCTCTGAGCTTAGCTCACTGTTTAGACAACTGATTTAAAAAAAGATTTAGAAATATGAAAGAACTGGAGAATCAGTTAAAGTGCAGACAGTGGCAGTGGGATGTCACACTGTGAAGCCTGCAACTGTCCTCCCATCTCCAGACAATACTGGGTAGGGAGAGTTATTAACAGCTCATCGAGGGACTCTCAGTAGTGCAGAGACTTGGAGAGGAAAAGGGGTTATCAGCAAAAGAAATTGCTTTGCAGACCCTAAATGCTCAAGCAGATACAGTGAAAGGATGAGGGCATTTCAGAAGAGCTGATTTTTCAGGCTTGTGCAGTGTGAAGAATCAGATAGAATTACTATCAGATATGTGACTCTTCTAAAATGCCCATGCATACCAGAGCAAGATAAAATGAAACCAGGCAAAACGTTTTGCTAAAATCTCTCATCTCTGTATTTGTAACCTCTCTCTAAATGCATCACCTCCTGCAGCCCTCTGCTTTGACAGAACAAGCATCAAGGAGTAGCACAAGGGCAGAACTCATGCAGTCCCTCTGCTATTTTAAGCAGCTCAAGTGTTATTCTAAATAGCATAAAGGGAATCTTAAAGTTTAGTGTTTCACTGCTGCTTGCATCTAATCTGTGCTATTTCCCTGAGGCACAAAGGTGGATCTGTTGCCAAGAATCCACTTAATCCAGCACCCGAGACTCCTAAGAAAAACATTCCAATGGTTATAAAGGTTGGAACACTATGAAGTAGACTGTTCAGTATGGATGTTGCACATTGAAAGGCATATATCTTCTGGACATAGCCTTTCCCTAGTGTCTGAAAACACAAAAAAAATTTGCACATCTGTGAAACCTGTGAATGGTTTTAGATGGAGACAACACAGCTAATGGAACTGAGACTTAAAAAGGTTCTTCAGGCCTGCAAAGCTCAGATACTCAATAGTCATTTTGAGCTGTTCCTTCATATTTTCTATTGACTATAGACTGCCCCAAGATTGACAAGGTTATGGCTTTATTACTTGAAAGGTAGTCTCTTGGTTATTGGTATTCTCTTGGTATTTGCAGAGCCTCTGATGTTCGGAAAATGCTGGCAATTCCTATCCAAGATATAGGTTCTGAATCTCTGTCTTTATATCTCTATAATCTGCTTTTAAGAATCACTCCCCACCAGCCTGTGAAAGAAATTATTTCATCTCTTAGGTGCTCCCTGGCCTCTTGACTTGCTCAGTGGTGACCAACCTGCCAGGATGCTGAAAAGGAAATAACTGAAAAATAACTGGAACTTGGTCACTGAGGTACAAACTTCACCAGCTTACAGACACTCAACGGTGAGTTTTTCAAAAGGCAGCATCTAATTTACATTAACAACAGTTATAAGCCTAAATGTCTTTGACGAACTGGGCTCCCTGAAGAATTTATATTTTTTGAATGTTGGGCTTCCACAGATGTGCTGGACCAYATTTGTAAGTATTGAACATATCACATCCTCCAGTTTAACTATTGAGATGGTAATGAGAAACAATAACAGAAGACCATTACCATCAGACCTGAATTTTATGAAAGAAATAGGAATAATGTTTTACTTACAGAAGCCATCTACCAAAGCAGCCCAACAAGATTAGGGGAAAAATAAAAGAATAATCTTAAATTTTAACTAATCTTTAATTAGAATACATCCATAACTGTATTTCAAGATTGGAAGCACACAGAGGAAGACAGTACTGCTGTTTTGTAGTAAGCACAAAGCTGAATGAAAAGGGGAATTAAATTGCCTGAATATAAGATCAACCTGACAGTTAAGAGGTCTGCACAGTCAATWCATATGACCCAAACAACCTTGGAATGTGGCCCCACTTGCCTAAGTGGCTACAAAACTAAGAATGTGTGCATGTGTGTACAAATACATAAGTATTTTTTTATACACAACACATTTACCTATCCTGGTAAAGACATTGAGAAATGAAAAAAACTAATTTTTGTTCAGTATTTTTGAAAACCTCACTTTACAGACAGCATTAAAACCTGCAGGAAATGCTATGGCAACGTGTTTCCATGAGGACACAGCAAATAGTGATTGCATGTACCTATGAACGTGACATTTGAAGAGGGTTTTTTTTAAAACCTAAATATAGCTTAGACACTACGTATTATCAGGATGTCTAAGTACTTCATAAAGAAATATAACCACAGGATCTACCTGGGATAAGGACTCCAGTCCTAAGCTGGAAGCACATTATACAATAGTGACAGGAGAAAAAAAAAACTGTATATATTGGCTGGTCATCAGGYAGTACGTTGGGCAGCCAGTGTGCTCAGAGCAGAGATGGAGGAAAGTGTGGCTCAAGCACTGGTGAGACGTCTGCAATAGCAGGTCTGATTTTGGTCACTCTTGTTGTGAAAAAGATAACCTCAGAATGGACCAAATGCAGAGAAGAACAACTGTGGAAACAAACAGCCTATCCTTCAAGGGAGAAGAAAGCTTCGTTTGCTGTTCCCAAAATGAAGACATAGCGAGTATCCCCTAATTACACTTCCTCCAAATAGCAGTCCATCGAGGGCTCATAAATGATCAGTATAACAACACAAGAACAGTCTGCCTGTAACTGATCTGGAAATCGACGTGTTTTAACTGTAAAAGGACTGACATGATGGGTCACTTTCTCAGAGAGAAGCATAGGGGRAAAATATTCATAAACCTGGAAACACCCCATCATTACTATTTTCAGTGATGCCTTTCAGTTGCTTTCTAAGAAAGCAAAACTGCATTCTCGTATTTGTCTACGAATCTCTGAGTTCTTCAAAGCTAACTTTGATCCCACCTCATATTTCCATTTTGAGAGAGATACTCACTGTAACATGATAGGGTATGGTTGACTCCTTCTGACTTGGTGATTTGTACAGTGTTGCCAGCCTGGTTAAACAAAAACAAAGAATTTGGATTAGTAAATGCAGATAACAGAGAAATTCCATATAAACAATTTCAGATTAACCAGACCAGTCATGGGGTGGGTGATTTGCACAGGGCATTCAACACATGGATGTCAAAACCCCATCCCTATCTGATTAGTCAGCTTAAATACAATAAACATCTGTTAATAAAGAGCAAGTGATTGATCAGCCTTGTTTTATCACTGTATTTTATCACTTCAAAACAATATCTATTCTGAATTAATTCCAAATGCCACTTTAAAATCCAAACAGAAAAGCCTTTGCGCACAATTGTTTTCTACTCTATTAAACAATTATTGTGACTTGACCTTTCAAGGCTGGAAGATAAGCCTGAAGCAATCAAAAAACTTCCAGGGAGTTTCTTCTAGAGATTTCACAAAACACATGGATGGAGAATGTGAGATGGGTGCTTGCCTAGTACAGATAAGAGACATCAAAATAGCTGAATATCAAGGGWTTTTTTTTAACCAGCCCTAGCACTGCTGGTCTGCTCCATGGCTATCCTCCCATTTCTGTACCAAGACACCTTGCCAAGGATCCTGTTAATTATTTTTGTGGGCTTTTCCTCCCTGAGGTGCCATTCTATTAGAAAGCACGTAATTACAGCCTGAGGAACACTGCCACTTCGTATTAGCTATGCAGGGAATTCCTCAGAACATTTCAGAGGTGGGTTATACCTTACAAAACCACCTAAATGTGAAGCTGCAAATGCCCTGCTTTTACAAGCCCTCAGCTGGAGCTCTGCTGCACGTCTCAACTCAACAGGATCTTTCCTCACAGCAATGAGACCCACTGTAATAAAGCTTCACAGTTTCCCTCTAGTACTAGAAAGGCAAGACAGGGATTGACAAGCATTATATTTAGTCCAAGCACATCAGGAAAGGAAAATGACCTCTTAAATGGTTCAAGTTGCACCTCAGTAACAGCCTATAGAAACAAGGATAGCAAATCATTGGGAATCATCAAGTATTGATAGTTCCTTTACAGATGCCACTGATTGTCTGTTTCTGCTTTTTACAGATATTCAGAATTGCAGTGCTTCTGCAGGCCCCATTCCGTATTAGCTGTATATTTAGAAAACTAATTAAGAAAAGCTTTTCTACCTTTCACCTTTCATTTTAGAACCTACCTACAACATTCCTGGCCATGGTGTGGAAAGAAAAAAGCTCTTTACTTTCTATATATAACATTAACTTGTGTTTGCTCTGCAATTGTCATGTTGATGCAATTTCTTTTATAAAGGCTGTTAATCAGTGTCATTRATTTAACTCCAGACTAAACAGCCTGCAGTAATCACTCTGCATTGCTTTCAAATTTAGAATTTAAAAAACCAAAACCCCACAGGAAAATATTGCTACATTTCTTGTACAAGTTTAAAGAACAAAACTATGCACAACAACATTCCAATAGCATTTTTGTTCTTTGTTTGCAAAAGATTAGAGAATAGAATCAAGGCTTCTTAAGTCTCAAATTACAGCTGCATTGTGATATTATATGCAAGACAAATTCAACTAAGCAGGCAATGAGCTGGCAACACAGCGAAGAGGGGCAAAAACAATGAAGCAAAAGACCCCATTGCAACAAGAGAACTTCATACTGGTTTTAGGCAGGTCATCCTCATTTCCTTGGGGTTCTAAAATCATCTTTCATAGACACACTCTGCACTGTGAATAAAGGCAGCTCTCTTCCTACATCTCTGCAGYTAACAGTTATTTAGCAATTGCATGGCTGTCCAGTTTTCAAAAGAATCATCCTAACATATTCCAAAGCAGAACAGCCCTAGAGCTGCRAGTGCAGCTCAGAAGTCAGCAAGACTGGGTTCTGCACTCTGGGAATCCCTGCCTAGGTGGACGGCCTTCCTGGACATCAAAGGGCTTGTATTGCCTAGGGCCTAAACGTCAGATTTAAGCAAAGAAATTCTTCCTGCTTGCAAAATGTAGACTATGAGACTGATATTAGGTGAAGCTTGGAGGTCTGTGACTGAGGACAACAATATATGCCCACAGATGCRTTATAAAAAGAGTTGTTTAAATCTAATCACCAACCCCCAAATTATTGTGTCTGAGCAGCTACCATCAGGGTATTTAWGATGCATAGCACATCAGAAACAACAGGCAGCATGGACAGCACTGCAGCAATCTGACCACAGTGAAAAGCAGCTCAACAGTTCAGCCCATGCTACTTCTGGGCTGAACTASATTATTTTTCTCGAACCTCAGTAGCTCAGGATATGAGAGACCACAAAGTCAAATCAAATTCAAACCCCTGCACGGCCAAGGAAACTTGAACTTGAAATCCAAGTTCAGCTTGTAAGAGTGTMAAGCTTGGCGTATTATTACATACCTTTCTGGCCTACATTTACACTTACCTTTGATTGTTATCCCAATGAAAGATTAAACGGACCGTAGCAGCATGTCCCCAGCTTTCTCCTGGGTGACAAAATGACAGACATTTTACTTATCTCCTGTAAAAGCAGCAGAATAAATTGAACTGAAATTAGATCAGTCTTCCCCAACCCCCCATGATTAAAATATATATGGCTTTCTTGCAATGACAAATCACACCTTTTAGACGTGCRAAGATTTTACAATTAGTTTATTAAACATACTGAGATGAGGAATAACCTCTGTACTCACCTGCAGTATGTTTTATAAAAAGCTTGATGCAATACTTCTGTATTTGTAAAAAGATTTTTATATATAAACACACACACTTGATAAGACAGGTACTAGACAAATCTTGACGACAGACACAACATGAAGAAACCATTTTTCTAATTACTGAAAAGTCTAGCGAATATGTCTAAATCCTAGCTCAAAATTGTCATTTTCTGTCTCTCATGCATAATTATGAGCAAACATCACTCCCTCTGGGATACAAGCTTTGGGAGAAAGTCAGTGATTATTAAAGTATTAAAGGCCCCTAAAGCAGCCTCCCTTTTCTGACAGTAAATGGATAAAGAACAGAGCCAAAAGAGTGGAAGAAAAAAAAATCTGGGCAGTTATCCTGTTTCAGGGGAAATCGTCCTACCGTTTCAGATTTCATCTGACCACAAAATCATTCAATTCATAGACAGCTCTATTGGGCATTTTCCTCTCTATCCCAGGAGACATTCAGTAGTCAGAAAATGGACTGAATTTTGAAACAGTCATTTGGTTAAGACTGCAAACTTCTCCTATTCATCTGTACACAACCAGTTAACTTCTGTATCAGTTATTTACTGGTCTCTAGCACACCACCAGTCCTGTCTGCTCTGGTTTTCATTACAGCATGGAGGAGAAAACTGTTCAACTGTTACAAAGCTTAGACCCTCTAGGCATCTTTCCAGACCCTGGTCCATTATACCTTCGCTGAGATTTAATGTTTTGGCTACTGCATATAGTTCTGAGTCAGAGATTAAAACCACAGCATTTACAAATGGACCCAAGTTCCACTCCAGACTCCTTCCAACTGCACTGAATGCAAGGGGGAAAAAAAATACTGCAAAATGAGATATTTCTGAGTTAAACTGGCTGCAGATTAATATGTGACCTCCTTTCTAAATATATCAAGCAGAAATGTCTAGGAACACCCAGCTTAGCTATCACTAGTGGGAAAGAAAGCTGCCCCCTTCATAAAGCTCTTGACTTAATACCTTGCAGCATCTGTGCGCTTTTTCATAATTAAGGAATTCCCTTCTGCCTGGAAGTTGAGTAAGAGTTTAGGGATTAATGCTTTTGTAAAGTCTTAGTGGAAGCTGTTTCTAGGTCTTACCAATAACCTAGAAGAGGGAAATTTATAAGGAAGGCAACTGATCTGATTTTATTTGGCATTTTGCCACTTACCTAGCCCTCAATAGTCCCTTTGGCTACAACCAACCTTATAGGAGCAGGAACTGCTTCAGTTTTATGATGAGACTCCCTTCAGAGTGGGTCATAAAACCACCCAGGAATACACTAGTACAACACTCACATCAAGTCAATGGAATAAATTCACACCAGAGTGATACAAAGCCACTTACATTTTGAAATTCTCCATTTGAGATATTGCTGTTTAAAATTAAATTTGGATGCACAGAGTATCTCTTTGCTTGAATATTTTACGAATTGTTATAAACGTTCATTTTTGAAAGCAGATATGCTATTCAGCTAAACAAAACTAAAAGGCTGCATGCACATTCTGATGAGTCACAATCAGTTTATGGTTTCCTCAAGAGGGGGTTATRTCAAATTAAATGTGCTTAAGAATGAAATTGTGTGCAAGACAATATGTGATAATTTAGGATTATAACCTATACGGACTCCTTTAGCATTCTTTACAGATTTCAAACACTGCAGGTTATTAAAAAGTCAAGACAGAATCTATTAGCTTTAATTCAGTTTGTAGGCAGTTATTTTTGGCAGCCTTTCTAATATGTCAGAAATATATGAAAATGACAAAAAATGGTCAGATGCTGAAAGCTAGGTCTTTATCTGCATGCACAGCTCAATTTCACGTTCTCCAAGGAGATGATCTGTATTTGTTCATTTTATCTTACATCTGCACCGAATGGTTAAATACCTGTACAGACACTGAGAACATCTTTGCCTTTGTACCGTCTCCTTCTCCCTCCCTTCCAGACCAGGGGAATTATTACCTAGTCCACTGAATCTGACGCTATAGGCAGAGAATTTTTGCCTTTTAAGTATATCATGAAATATAAAGTTACAACCTGAAACAAGAAAAGGCTCAGCATTTAAATCTTAAATTTGGCCAAATGGCCATTTCAGGTAACTGTGCTAGTTTCCCTGTGGGCAGAGCAAAAGAGTCTATATGGGGCACTCTGCTCATTACAGAGCAAGCTGGAGCAGCCTGTAAGAAACACTTAAACTCATCATGGGCAGACTGAAATTCAGGAGCCCACAGATTTTTTCTCCCTACACTRTAACAACTGTAGAAATCAAAGGGAAAAAAGGTCTAGACATGCACCAAATATGAAATATCTTTGCAAAGAGTCAATGGAAATAGTTTAAATTGTTTATTTTACCATTACATTTGATTATGTTTAAGAGAGCTGTTAACATTTCCCAAGGAATTTAGGAAACTGCTATATCACAGAAATTTCATCAGACAGATTTTTCTTGTTGTTATTCACAATGCCAAAATGAAGAAGGATATCATATATTCATATATTTATATATATATATATATATATATAAAAAAAAGTATATATATTCAAAAGATTTTCAGTTTTCAACTCACATGTTAAGCACCTACCTAAAGCAGGTACCAGTGTGGACTGGCTTTGTCCAATCCTTGTGGTCATTTGATTTGTCAGAACTACCTAAAAGAGGAAACAGAAACAAGCAAACAAAACCCTCCAGGAAGCAATCATAACGGGGRAAGAGAAAGCAACAGGATTTTTATTCCTAAAAGGTTTTATCAATAAAGTGCTCACTTGGATCAAACTCTTGCCAACAGAAAGAAAGATCTGTACTAACAGCAAGAAACAATAAAGGTTCCTCATCTTTTCTCAAGAGATGAAATAAAATAGGAGATCCCTCCAAAATGCATTTTCAGTTTGCAAGGAAAGTGGATTTCTTTCATTCAAGACTTACAAAATGAAATCTCTCCCTATGCAGCAGATAGGAAAATATTAGTTGTGTTAGGTTGCTGTATATATGCTGAAGTCTCTTTGGATCTGTATTTAGATGCACACATTCATAACAGCCCTCTCCTTATGGATAGGATTCACTCACTGTGGCATAAACAAACTTGGTGGTGCTGCATAAGGCATGCACAAGAGTAATGATTAACAAAATTTCTGCACCTTGTAGTCTAAAAATGTGCAAGCGGGTACAATACAAAGCAGAATGAGAATGAACAGACAGAGTGGAGGAGTGTTTTTGCAGCACAAATCATTTGTAGGAGGTTCACAGACAGTCTAGGTTAGATCCTTGGTAGAAGTGGGGGTGGGTGAGACAGAAAAGAGCCAGGAATATTAATCTCAAGGTTCATTAAAAATGAAAAAAAATTACCTATACTAAACCGTAGGGTATTTTTTCAGTGTTTGACATGTCTGTATGATTCTTGCTCGAACAGTTAGAAAAGTATATTTGAATAACCAATTTTACTGAGCATATGGGGCACATACCAAAACATTTACATAGCTGAAAGCTGCAAAACATACACTGTATATTTTTGAGAATGAATGCATCATAGTTCAATGGTAACAGCTCCTCAATGGCCCCTCATCTCATTGCCAATGAGAACTTGAGTGGGCATCCCAGCACAAACCAAGGAGCTCAGCTTTAGAACTAAAGAAACTCCCTTCCTTCCATATTAGAGCATTCAGATAGGCCTGGATTTGCTGCCAGTCAATCTCTGGTATGCAAGCTTAATTTAGACTGTCTGCAAGCTACAGGAAACTAACTCAAGCTAACAAGAGGGCTACTCTAAGCTAGGGCATTCCTGAAGCTCTGTGCTTGACCATTTCTTTAGCAAGCATTAAATTCAACAAAGTTTTATAGTGAAGTGCTCACTTAACACAAACAAGTTAAATGTTTCACTTGACAGAAACAAAATAAGACTACGTTGACATCTTCGCCTTTTCAAGGTCATTGGGCACCTAATGTAGGAGTGAGGGCAATCAACAAACTAGGCATTGGGCAAATCAAATAGTCATACAATGCTTGTCTCCGCTGGTGCCCACAGCAGAGGAAGAACCCTCCTAATTCATACTAAGGGCAGAGGGGACACTGATTTTGGCAGCAGGTACAATCATATAACCTGGCAGAACAGAGCTGCACTCTTACCCTTCTGACAACTAGCAGAGGGAGTATGAGAGGAGGACACTTTCAGTAGTATAAACAAAAGCCAACCGCATGAGAGTCGTGAGTGACAAGAAAGCAAGCCACCTGGCAACAGTTAGAGAGCCCAGCACCATTTTGAGACCTCGAAAGCCACAATTCCTGAGCAATGCTTCTCTATGCTGTTAACAGGCTCACCAAATAACTTCTGTAAGAGACGTGGCCTCCGAGTGCCATCTGCTGGCTGCACATTTGCAGGCTTCCATATTGGTGTAGGTGACATAGAAATAATCCCCAGGCAGGAAGCTGGGGGTTTCCATGGATGCCAGAACAGCAAGCCAAACCATCAGACAAAAGTGGTTTTCCTCCCTAGGAACAGTTCTTCCACTAACACAGGAGTTTATTTTTAAATTAAGGATATAAATTTATGCTGTTACTGCTAAGTATTCTGACATATTTTAATATGTGCTTTGTAGGCAGGTAAAAGTCAGCAAAAGAGCACTGTTACCCCAATCAAATCACAAAAGCAGATGATGTGGAATAGCATGGAAAAATGATGTTATCATTTAGATGAAATGCACAGGATGCTAGTGTGAATTTTACTTATTTGGAAAGTGCAGGACCTTTCTACCTGCACCATTTTCCCCATGCAATCTATCTGTATTTATTGATGAAATAGGCAAATAAGAATGTAAAGAACCTTCATGATGTTTTATTGTGTCTACAATCACACACCCCATTTGCTTAATCCTCTATAAGACAGTGATTCAGGAGTAACATCATTCACAATTTAAACCTGTCCCAGACTTACTGCTGTTTTATGATCATTTGCCATGATGATCAGCTGCTGTGCAAGWCCATTTAAAAGTCTCGTGCGAAGTGAGAGGTCCTCAAAGTCATGGCGAAAGGGAAATGCAATTCCATCGATAACCACCAGTCGGACCTAGATACAGAAGAAAATAAGAGTATATCAGGATCCTACAAATTGCTAATAAAATTAGTTAAATCTTCTGAAAAAAYACGGGAATCTGTTTCATATAAGGTGATGTCAATATTTTGTTTTATACTCAGATGTGCTTGACAGTGTAACATCTCTTGCCTATCCCTGTGCATCAGAGACATTGCATACAAGAGTGAAGGGTGAACAGCCTTAAGCTCCAAAGTACAGTAGCATACACTATTTTAAAATCATTGTATTTGCTAAGTGCAGTACTGCATTACACACAGATACCATCTCAAAGCAGTGTTAAATTAGCTTAAACAAAATGCTGCACTAAGCCCTTCTGTTAGTTAACTCAGAGCTGCCTTTCTGAACATTTCTGGTCTCAGAGCTCTCTCACTAACAGCAAGCTGACTTAYCTCTGCAGCACCTGATCCAGAAAACCAAAGGATAAAGCTGGGCAAATAACCCTTGTCAAATAGAAGCTGAAGAAAAAAACCATTAAATAAAAGAACTGCACTTCAACCAGCTCTCCATGAGCACTGTTTTATTTCACTCTCTCCCCCCAAAAATAAAACTAAAACCAGAAGATATATTGTCTGCAGTCACTGTTAAAGTAACCCAGATACTGAGGGGCCTATCTTAATAACATGGATTTTAACAGCTGCTGGAAGATATTCTAGACATTATGAAATAGAGCTGAATATCTATCTATCTTGAAGGTGTTTGCTGCTTTTGCAGTAAACATTAGATAAAGCTAGAATACAATATTGCTGTAGGCTCATCATTTTCCAGGCACAATATAAACATGCATTCAGGATTTTGATTTATTCTAACTTCATTTGCTGCAGCTGTTCCGATGACTCAAATTTGCCTGAAATACAGAAGGGAAACCAACAGTCTTATATGGTGCCTGCTCTCATTTGTCACTTAAGTCCTGGGTATCTGCAAGKTTTTGCATTAATGCACAAGATAACAAATTGGAAACTACAGGAGAAAATGCTTCTCTTTCTATATTATTGATTTAACTTATTGGAAAATAGCTTTGGGGTTGGAACATACAACTCTGCAGCAAACATCACTCTGAAATGGGCCCAARGCTCCAATTGGGGAAAAAAGAAAAAAGTAACTTGGAAAAATAAAAAGGTTAGTTAGAATTAAGATATTCTTCTGCTCTCTCTCACATCTCTTCATGTAAATTCCTTTCAATGATTCTGTACATTTTTCTTGTGCATATATATATATATATATTTTTTTTGGTTATGAAAATAACCAGTTTAAGAGCATAAATCCAGGTTAATTTTATAGTCCCAGCCTCAACTTTTAAGTCTGGTCAGAGGGATTAGAAGAATTTTAGTGAAACCTGGACAGCAAGGATGAGTCTGTCAAGTCAATTATTGTCTTCCCAAGGAATCACCAGAAGGTCTTATAACTCTCCTGCAACCTTCAGTATTTCAGGCTGCCAGCCAGCTGATAATCGGCACAGATGGTACCAGAGAACTGCAGCCCAAAGTAACTGTGCTAATGAAGCCATGTACTTTCCAGAAGAGCAAACACAACAGGGCACCATTAGTGCCTGGCAGAGGAAGGCAAATACTCTCAGACCACACGAAGCAAAAGCAAGACTACTTGCATCTGTCCTTTCAAGTTCGTATGTGCATCCAAAAATGGAAATGATATCCAAAAGAATCTAAACGAAGAAAATTGATTTCAGCTCTCTTAAGAGAGGCACAAGTCATCTTCCATGAATCCTGTTTAGGAAGAGATCTGCCTTGCAGAATCTATAAATCTGGGAAGGAGGCAGAGAAAAATCTGCTTTACAGTAGCATTTCATCAAGACAACAGGCAACTTTTTGGCTGTAGTCCACTCAAGAGTTAAGCTGCAGGCTGTGGTTGCTTGTAGCAACAGATGTACTGGAAAGAATGAAAACAGTCAATTTCTGGATGCCAGCAGGATGCTTTTGGTCCTCAGTGATCTCCTAGAAGAAAGGACTGACTAGGTCATTCTGACCCCTTCTGTATCAGGCTCATCAGATACATGCATGACTCAGGTCTCTTCTGTAAAGCAGTTTTGTGATAACTCCTAAGGCAGTGCTCACAGAAATGTGCACTCTTGCTGTATCACAAGTGCAACTCAAAGCCTTCCTGTGAAGATGAACGATACAGCGAGACAAGTTCGCAACAACCCCTACCTTTGAGTGCTCTGAAAGGAAGTCTGGAAGGAGGTAGACCTGCGCTAGCAGCTCTATATAGTCACGGCAACGGAAGTAATATATGTGAGAGAGGATACTTTCAACAGAAAAAGTCTCCAAAGCTTTTAGATGATCTGTGAATAAATAGAGAAATGAACAAACAAGTCAGAGGTTTATACTAACCTCTGGAATGGATGCAATGCTAATGCTAGCAAGTAGCATTGCTACTTCCATTAAACTATTTTTTCCTACACATAGCAACAATAGCCAAATACCCAGAAACACAAATTTTGCTAAAGGAACTGAAAGAGTCAATGTTAAGGGTGTGGAAAAGATACTTTCCATCTGGCTTGAAAGTCAGGAAGTTGGTGACTAACCTATCTCAACACTTTTAGTCAGATTCACTGGAGCTTCCAAATGAGTGCTCCAAAAAGGAGAAATTAATTTTTCAAAAAGATTTTCAGTAAGTCACTTTCAAGCCTAAACTCCACTAGATAAAAACATCCAGTATTAGTCAATGAACAGGTAGTAGCACATATATCGTGGCATCCTTGTAGCTCTGTTCAATCTAAATTCTTTACCCAAAATGTTCTGAGAGCAACACATAAGTTATGTCAGCATTGCTAACATGCTGACGACTTACAGAATAAAATTTCTCAATTAAAAGCAACCTTTCTGTATTAACCTTAGAAAGGGCTAGACTGCAGCTACAGTTTTTCACACAGGGCTTCCACACTAACACTGACCTAAACAGATCTGCCTTTCTTGTTCCCTTTCCTTTCTTGTTCACTTTCCTGAGCTGCTTTTGCTGTTCCTGTGCTGCAGCACATTAATCCTCTGTCATATTGAACCAGTTCTGCACTAGGACTTTCAGGTGGGAAATGATGGCAACAAGAACTCCTTGAGCCAGCACTGCCGCTCATGAGATGTTCTTTCTGCCTAGTAGGCAGAAAGAAAACGTGACTTGGCAACACACCTTCTTCCTGGTGGGCTTCAGCAATAAGCTGGCAATGTTGCACGCAGGCAGTTGCAATATCTGCAACTCTGTCCACCATAAAGCTTCCTTCAGTGTCAATGAACACTGCTTCTCCAGCAAGGCCCCCAAAGCATTCGGGGATCTGTACATCTACAGCCAGCTGCATACTGTGATGGGAAACGGAAAGATAAAATKATAAATACATTACAAAGCTCAGTAGTAGTCCTCAGTGGTACTAAGCAATATAACTGTTAACAAGATGCTATTTGTAGTGGTATATGAGATTGCAACAACAATGAAAAGAACAAGATCAGACAAGAAAAGTGAACCACAGCTAAAAATACATGTACAAATATACATAGACACAGAAAAATAGGATACCAAAGCTGTGTTTTCCCAACACCAGGTGCTCCACAGATCTCGGTGATCTTTGTTAGCTGCACCCCACCGCCCAGGACGCTGTCGAGGGCGGAGCAGAAGGTGATGATGAAGCCCTGGGCTTGCTCCTGCTCCAGCAGCTCCAGGGCTGTGCACCTCCGGGTGCCCCCAGTAGCCCGGGGCRCCTCGCCGGGACATTCCTGCCGCACAACCTGCAGCACTTCCAGGGCCTCTTCCTTGGAGATACCRACCTCTAGAAAGACAACCACAAAAAATATTATGCATGCATATATATATATGTAYACACATACACGGAGAGGGAGTATATATGCGAGCAATTCCTCTACTTTGCACTTAAACACATTATTTTGAGCATCACTTGAAGCCAGTAAAAGATGTCACCCTGCAGACGGGTGGCACCTAGTGCTCGGAACCCGCATAGCGGCTCGGGACGTTATTTTCCTTCCGATTTGAAGCGCGGACCCAACAACAGATGCGGGACCTGCAAGTGTCGCAGCTCTGCGCACGGAGCCGCCATCTCGCCCTGCTCCAAGGGATAAAAYCTCACAGCGAAGCCTCACAGCTATGCAAAAAAAAATGCTTTTTAGGCCCAACTCGGGTGCCCGCCGCGTTCCCGGGCTCAGGACGGGGCCGGGGCGAGTCCCGACGCCGGGAGAGGCGGCACCGGCACCGCTACCTGCGCTCAGCCCGCAGGGACCCGTGTCCAGCAGCTCCTGCGCCGTCTGGAAGCCGGCGGCCGCCAGGCGCGCCCGCAGCGCGGGGGCCAGGGGCAGGGTGCCCACATCCCGCTGCATGGCGGCCTCAGCGCCGCGGCCCCGCCCCCCGCCGCCACCACCCGCCCCAGCGGCGCCGCCCGCCCGATTGCCGCCATTTCAGGCGGCTCCTTCCCGCCTCCTCCCCGGCCGTTGCGCAGCCACGCGCATGCGCGAGGCGCGCGCAGCTGGGGGGCATTGCGCAGGCGCGGAGGTGCGAGGCGCCTCGGCACGTGACGGCGCGGGGCGGCCGTTAGGGCGTGGGCGGTGGCGCGGGGCGGCCGTTAGGGCGTGGGCGGTGGCGCGGGGCGGAGGTAACGGTTTAACGTGCCCAGGTAGCGGGGGAATTAATCGCTTCAGGGTGGATACACCCATAGAGATGGGGTTTTTAAGCACCCTTAATCTTGGTGCTGCCTTTGGTCTCCTTTTGACCAGTCATATTCCAGCAGGGCYGTGTATAGGCCCTTTCTCATAAGGCCTTTCCTCACTGGTACTCTTGGGGCCATGTATCCTTGTGGGGTAGGCCTCAGTCTTCTAACTGGGCCCTTCCTCTTTATTTTGAAACCTCCCATGCAGCTCAGTGGGCACAATACCCTCTGAGGAGGAAGCAGATGTTATTGAAGGATGGAGTTGTGCTCCCCTTTCATATTCCTTAAACCTCACTCACTAGGGACCTGATAAGCTGCTGATGGCTTGAAGTATCTTTCAGTTTTCCAGGAATTTTCCAGAATTTCAGATGGCTGAAATTCTTTGAGCCATGGTATTTGGTATGGTTCTAAGATTTCACATTTCCTCATTCTCTGCAGGAAAGAAGATGGCTCATGCAGTTGCTGTTCCCATTCCCTGCCCAGTCCAGCTCGGGAGTATAAAAGATGACTCTTTAGAAGCCCAACTACATGAGTATGTCAGGCAAGGAAACTACGTGAAAGTGAAGAAAATTCTGAAAAAGGGTAAGAGTTAACTAGACAGAAGCAGAAAATAATTAATCTTTGATGCAATTATCTCTTGCCGATACTGTTTGTAATTGAAAAGAAAAGAGAAAAGAAGCTCCCTTTTCAGATAGTTTTAAATACAGGTTGCAGAGTGTGTTATTAGAGCTAACATTCGCAACCTGGGGCGTTTTCCTGCCGGGTTTGAGCGGCGGCGGGCGTGATTGGTGGAGAGCTCCAGTTCTTGCAAATGAGGGGGCGTGCCCTCATCTAGCGCCCCACGCCGCGGTTCGTGGGCAGCAGGAGGGGCCGGGGGTCGCGCGCGGCGGGGGCGGCGCGGGGCGCGGGCGTCAGGGGCGGCGGGAGCGCGCGGGCCACGCCCACGGCGGTGTCCGTGAGCTGGGCGCGGGTGCGCGCGCGTGCGGGCGGCGGCGCGCCCGCTTTGGGGCAGGACTATACTTTCAGGGATCATTTCTGTAG